CCTTGATGGGTACAGTATCAAATTTCTATCCCGTGCCGACAATGAAAAGTTGCACTATCTGTGGGTTTTCAGCAATGGGTGTGTCCACAACGTGGTGTCGAACATAAAACAGGAAGTTATAACTTCACTGTACATGATCTGTCACAATGCTGGTTGTCCTGTATGCCTCAATTACAATATTTTTACTGTGTATAAAATGTGTATATGTACATAGGAGTCAATACTGTGACTTGAAGAGCAATGCGACATTGGGAATAAAAGTATAAACAGTCAAGCAACATAAATAAACAACACATCACGGAAATGATAAGGCAAAATGATAACACTGACCCCAGATCCAGAGCACGCCCCCATGCCCGACCCAAGGCAGACATCATTTGGTTGGATTTCTAGAAATGCTTACTTTAGTTGTTTATGTCTTGTTTCCTGTATGTTGCAACACCCTCACACACACACACATCCCTACATCCATCATCCTGTCCTGACAGTACTGAAAGCCTCTGGTGTTCATACCCCATACCTGAACAACTTTAATTTGACACAATTCTTGGTGGTTGGTTTATTCTGGTTTTGAAAAACATATTTTGTTAAATGTTTGGCTAGGTGTTTCTCGATTTTGTTGTGGTCACTTGAGCCAGGTCAAAACACATTCATAAAGGTTCTCCCAGTATCACCACCCCACACTCGCTCTGTGCCCCATCTTGGCCATCCCGGTAGAAATTTCCTGGTTATGCAACGGTGATGGGTACAGTTTCAAAGTGAGCTTATTGTGTGAAGATACTGGATGTTCACAGTTACAGACAATGTTAGACACCGTAAAACAAAAGTATCACATCGGATTGATGAAGTATTACTAAAACCACAAAACATGAGTCTACTTCAAATTACTAGAATGTCTTAAAAGGATTGTGATTCTGCAGAAAGATTGTTGACGGGCGATTCTAGGATCAGACCTTAATTGGTGCTCAGCCCCTAATGAGAATGTAGCATGCATACAATGCCTTGCAAAAGTGTTCACGAATTGGTGGAGAGAATAAGTAGGCCTAGAGAGAGAGAACTAGAGAGGAGCTGGAGTAGAGCGGAGCGGTTCAGTCTACACTTTGTGTTGAAAAGTTGTGGGAATAAGGGCTCAGATTAGAAGCGTGATGATACATTTGGGTCATGAGACATGACAATGCACAAAAACAAGAAAAGAAGACTTTTAGCACTGTTTAGATTAAATATTTGATGCTGAAATAAAATTTCCTGCATTCTGGAGACATTTTGTGCTCCAATTTACGGTGGAAATGTCTTTTTTTATATGAGGGAAACTTATATTGCATTGCATTTTTTCTTTCAATAAACCTTTTCTGTAAATAAACCTTTCTCAAAGCATTTTCATTTGTTAGTTAACATTTCTTGGTGCAAGTTGTTTTTCAGAACATTTTTAACAAATGCTTTCAAAAATGGAGACAAAATCAGCCATTTCAAAATGTGGTGGGGACATTTCCCCAGTGCCCCAGTGTAAATGACTCCTATGGAGTCAGTGGACCAGTTAGGGTCAGACAGCAGTGTGGAGCTGTAGGCTTGTGTTTATTCCCTCGGAGGAGGGAGGGTGTTAAAAGTGTTTCTCTAATTTAAGTGTTCAGTCTTCAGTTAAGTCTTGTTACATGCTTGCTTTTTCTTTAAAGAATAGTTTTCTGTTGCTGATTGAGTTTAATTTGTCAGTATTATTAAATTATTAAATAAATCTTTATTTGGTTGCACATAATCTATGAAGCATAAATTATTTCTATTATCATTTACATTATTAGTAACTAATCCAAGTTGCTGAATGCACCATCCTTGGCGTGAATGCGCGACTGGGCGGCAGGTCAGCTGCACTGGACCTAATGTTATTCAAGTCAGCCGTCAACCAACAAGCTAAAGTAAAGTAAAGTAAAGTAAAAGGAAGAGTTGAGAACGAGGTAGATAATGTTCTTTCGCCCCCTTCTCTGTTGCACTTGTCACACCATCCTGGGCTGAGTTCAGACCCGAAAATAGGTAGCAAACTGGTGCAAAGTTTTTGGATTGAACTGTCCCACATGGAAAGAAAACTCCTTCCATTGGTGCCGTTGAGCCAATCAGAATAGTGAAAGTATTAGTTTGGACCAGACTGACAGACATACAAACAGTGTTCCGCTGCAGCTGCACGGTCCGCCAGCACGGTCACGAATCATTAGGTAAAACATTAGAAACTGAAAAATACCAGTATTTAGGGACATTAAACCTGTTTAATGTAAGAAAACTCATATGAAACTGTAGGTTAATTGATTGTCCCTTCTCTTACTTCTCCAAAATCTTTTTTTGGGGGGGGTTGAATTGCTTTAATTTGAGACATCACTGAAGCCAGAGCATTCCATCATAATCAAGAGGGTTCAATGTCCCCTCCAAATCTTTAAGTGCCAGATGCAGGTTCATTCGATTTACAGAAAATACACATTATATTTACAATATCTTCTCAAAAAGTGTCTATTTTTATGTTCAGGGGTTATTTAAATTAGCCTATGTTTACATAGCAACAGTTTTTGAAGCAACAAAAATATCTGATGGATTCAGCCAATCACTGAGGCAGCTGTACAGTCCACATTTACTCACAACAACTCACAGTGAGATTTTAGATTCTTACATCAATCAGTCAATTTAGCATTTTTTCTTGAACACAGAAGCAGTGGCCTGAAAAAACAATGAGGTAAAGGAAAGGATCTTAATCAAAAAAGAGCAGACAGGATTAAGCCAGAGTGTTTAAACATTGAGTGAACAACTATGTCATGTTGAAGAGAAGCTAACGTATGGTTCAGCTGCAGGTTAGTTACCGTACATAAACTGTACAATCAGTCATTAGTTTTGTTTTTTTTCTTGGTACATGCACAAATTGGCTCACCTACCCACCCACACACTCATTCTGTAGGAATCAAATCATCTGTGGCCTCACCGAGCCCCTTTTTGAGTGGTCTGTCTCTCCAGATGCAACCCACTGCTGTAGTTTTTTAATTTTACCTCACAACATTCAGCTGTAAGCGAGAGCCCACTCTCTGCCTTTTCAGCGGCTGTGCATCCCATATATCAGAAAGCTGAAGAACACAATAACTCCCACGAGGGAGATGGTCGCAGGGGCGGTGAAAAACTGCTTGTCGTTAATGCGAAAGTACCACACCACAGCAGGGGCGGCTTGTTCATTAGACGACCAGGCGACGCCGCCAAGCCGGGAAAGGCAGGGGATATTTTTCTCACACTTTCTACCACACTGTTAGTGAGCTGTGACTGTTTTTGACAGTTTGTCTCTGAATATCGCTGTCCAATCAGCGTAAAGTCGTGTTCTGTGGAGTCAGCAGAGCTGCAGTGGGCGCATGAGTCCTCCAGCTTGTTGCTCTCACTACTACAAGCAGCTGTAGAAAATGTACGTTCAAGCAGAAAATTCAACCGTGGTGTAGTACAGTGACTTTACCAGCAGTGAGTAAGACACAATATAAATAATACATGTAATTTGTTAAGCTGTGAGGAGAGGAAATGTCCGCTAGCCACTAGGCTAATTTATGCTCCGCAAAATGCCAGAGGCTAAGCTAATAACTGTGACTGTAAAAAAAATATTAATAGTTATTATTAATTGCCCCCCTGAGAGATTTGGCAGGAGCCGCCACGCACCACAGCCAGTATCACCACAAACACTGGCACCACCAGGCTGCCAGTGCTGATTGCAACACCAGAATCCTCCAGAGACCCCTGGCCCGACTTCTGGTCCAGCCCCAGACTGAGCCCCCTCCTCTGGACCACTGTATCCTGTGGTTCTACAACAGCGACTTCCTCCGTGTCATTTAAATACTTCAGATGGACAGAGATGTAAGTGGTAGTAGTAGTTGCAGTGGTGTTGGTTGGGGAGATGGTCGTGGACAACACCGGCATATGTTTATAATCTTTTTATCTTCCTCCTCCAGGTCCTCATCATTATCATCATCATCCTCATCTGAAGTATGCAGTCTTCCAGCCTGTTGTTGTTTGCTCTGTATAACCAGCAAGCGAGCTCTCCTAACCCCCTCGGCTCCTTCTCCTGTCTCCTCACCCTCTCCTCTCTCAGTCCCCGACTCACCGTCATCCGGCTTATTCTCTTGCGAAGGTGGAGGAGTCTGCTGTTCAGGGGTTTCAGCGCTGGGAGACCCTCCACTGTAACTGTCATGGCCTCCGAGTCCGATAAGAGGGGTGCTTCAGCGCACGTAAAAATGGTCTAAATCACCCCATATGTTGATATTTGAACTCAACAAAAAGCCAATATTTAAATATGTACTGAGCAAAATACATATGTAAGCCAAAGCCTAAACCATGGTGTCTACTTTATGTTTCGGTAGGATAACTGTGAGTAACTTCAGTAATGACTATTAAAAAACATCATTAATCAGCCCAAATGGAGAGTATGAAAGCAAATCTCAGAGTAACAGGGCCCTATTAAGAGCATTAAGGTAGTGCAATCTAAAAACAATAAATATAGGCCACAGTGTCCATGTTGCTGCTGACTGCTGCATGAGAGAGAACCTCTCAGCAGCGATAGGGCTGCCTCTACAGAAGCCACAGACATGGTCTGAGTCTTACTGTTTTACCACTATCAAGAAACACATACCAAACTTCATTCAAAATGTTCAACTAAATAACAAAAATGCATGTTCATATTCTGCAGACTGGGTCCAAGGTGGGCCCTGGAAGGTCACAACCTTCCTGCACCCCCACTGCTCGATCCACTATAGCAACTTGGGTTGCGTTAAGTACGAATTCATGATGTAATAACTTTAAAACAATCAAATGATGTAACAATACAACAGAATAAAAATGTTTTTGTATTATATACATTTTTTGTAAATGACAAAAGACACTGCTGTGTGTTATGTAACGTGAGACAAAGGAGGAGACGCACACAGCACAGGTCAGGGTTGACCAGATCTGCAAACCTGCCCATCAATGCATAAGAAGAATATAATGACTGTCAGGTTTAGCTTTTACTTCCTGACTCCAGCAGCATAGTTGTCATTGTTATACAAGAGCCTGTTTTTCTTCAATGAATCTTTACTACACCCTTTTCTAAAGACTTCAGTATTTAAAACCAGCAGACAATCGATAAACATAAAACAAGTACTGAGCTTCTGTCCAAGCAGCACAGAGTAACTGACATCTTGTATTTTAAGCAGAAGGAGGTTAAAGAGACACTGGTAAGTAGAATCAATAACCATACCTTATTCTGCAGGGAATGTTCTTGCTAATATTGACAACATATTCACATATAACCTTAAGTGGAGTTGATTTACAGATCTTAGTGAGAATTGATTAACATGTTTGTCTTCAAATGTGTTTTTTTCAAAGGTCTAACTCATGGATTATGGGGTGATCATCATTGTGCTCACAGGTTGGTGCCTCATTTTGATTTTTCTGCTGTTTGTCTGTGCTAGATAACAAGCTCTGATGATATCTGGCTTACTGTCAAGGTGGACAGCAGACAAGCCAGTTTCTGATAATCCAAAAGATTCCTCTTTTTGCCCCCATCCATCCCACAAGATGGCCAATCAACAACAATAATCTTTCAAATTAAGGGGAAAATCCAGGGTAAACACTTTGATAAGTAATATTGGTCAGAGCAAGCAATGCTATTTTAATTAAATATATGAAACACGATTCTGCAGATGCTCATGTCTAAACAAAGGCAGCATTATCTAATCAGTGTCAGGCCCAGAGAGTTATAAGGGCAGAATTATTTTCTATTGGGGCCCCTCTCCTCTGGGATTGAGTCATTGTTCTTTATTATGATAGAATCAACATATTGTACATTATTAAGCAGTCTTCACTCAGTACTGCATATATAGTAAGTTTTTCCTGCGACAAACTGAGTCAAAGGGTACAACTATATTACAGAAAATGCTTACAATGACAAACATATTTGTAGTTGAACTGGTTCTATTTTATTGTCAGTGGTAAACAGTGAACACATTCCCTGAGGCAGACTGGAACTTGTTCTGTGAAGGCACGAAGTGTGAAGGCACCAGACATTAACTCTAGTAGGACTGTTTGGTTCAGTTTCAGAGAACATTAATTTTTTTCCATTTTCTGTAGTCATGATACAGTGTACGCTGCTAGCATACAAAGATATCACCAATAAGGAAAATGTATTTTAAAACTCCAAAGTACAGCAGAACCCACCTGATGTATAGTGCCTCTTCATGTTCACTGTAAAAGAGTCTACACAAAAACTCAATATTCTTTGTTTTAGGAGCACTGGTCAATGTTGCCTCTGCCCAAACTCGTCAGTACTACTTTGAGAGTACACCACTGAACTGGACTGAAGCTCAGAGCTTCTGCAGACAGGTCTACACTGACCTGGCCACCGTAGAAACCATATCTGACGTCAGTACCGTACTCAGCACCACACCAAGATACACAGGCAAGTTCTCAATATGGGAAACATATACGGAACATAAAAATAGTATTTATATACTGTATAATCATATACAAACATAACAACCAGGCAACAATGTTTTTGATAAGCTTATTATGATTAGATAAAATTATAACATATGATATTATGGAATGTGAAAGAACAAGAAAGGCCCTCAATGAAAAATAGAGGAGAAATAATTTAAGGGATGTTAAGTAAGCTCAGCAGGTTTTTTGATTCCAGCTGTTATATAATGAAACATCTGTTTGAACAGGCAAAGCTTGGATAGGCCTCTATGATCACAGCTGGAAATGGTCCCTGAGTAACAGCAGCTTCTATGGTGAAGCAGATACTGGGTTTAGAAACTGGGCTCCTGGACATCCCGTCAGTCCTAATGGTCAACACAACTGTGTGCTGCTTCTAAACAATTACTATTTCTCTTACTATTACAACTACCATAACTTCCTTGGAACATGGATGGACATGAATTGCAACAACCAATACTTCTCTGTTTGCTACAACGGTGAGTTTTCTTTTAGTGTATGAATTAACAAAAGGCTAAATAGATCTTCTGCATAGCACACTGTTAAGAACTTTTCTATATCAATTTATTTCCAGGTTCAGTAAATGGCGCTTCATCCTTTGTAAAAGTCAACAAATATTTGAATTGGACTGATGCTCAGAGATACTGCAGGGAGAATTATGTCGATCTAGCCAGGTACAGTGTGCACTGATGAAGACTCCAACACATACAATAGTACAGGATTGAACCAACTACTTAACAACTACTATTTATTCTGTTGATGAAACTCTTTAGTATTGTGACAGATGATAGGAATTCCAAATGGATTGGATGATCTTCCCCATGTTTATTTGATCCTTTTAAAAAAAAAATTATTCAAATCCTACCCTTCCTGTGTTAGTTCATTTATTATTATTATTATTTAATTGCTTTGCCTGTAAGTTAAACATTTTTCATGCTTAGTTTTATGACTGTATGGCACAGGGATGGGGATTGTTAATTTTTATTGATATTGATACCATTATTGAGCTGATTGATTGACCTTTATTTATACCACTATTGATACTTTTCTGTTATATGGTGGCAGTTGTTTGGTAAGACGATGTGGAAAAACATTTAGCAAGATCATCCTATAGAGTCTGATTAAAAAGCCTCATAAGCTACTATTGTAGGTTTTTACAGTAAGCCTACTTTTGATGTGTTTTATATTTTTTACTCGCTCCAAAGTCTGTTTCACACAGCCTGTCCCAGCAGTTAAAAAATGGGTTTCATTTTTCTTTGTTGAACAGTTGAAACGCAAACAAAAATCATGTAGAAAACATGCAACACAATGCAAAGGTGGTAGCCTGAGGGAGAAAAAATAGGTCACTCGAGGCAGGTGCAGCAAAGGGCCTCAATATTACAGACTTTTGTGCTGCTATTACTTGTACCTGAAGACAGTAGTAATTATTGTTGTAGTCAAGACCGCCCAAACCGTGACCAAGTCGAGACCAAGACCAAGGGAGGGCGAGACCGAGACAAGACCAGTTCCCCACGTTACATGACACACAGTAAAATGTGAATGTGACGTTTTACATCCAATCAAAGTTAGGATGTTAACAAATAAATCAGACAATGCAGTTTATTGATATTCCCAAAGTTATGGTCTTGACTGGTTGACTGGAAACGCGACTGGAAGCCACATTAGAAGCACTTCATCACCAATGTGACGCAGAAGTGGCCCTCGCTGAAGCCAAAGTATATGAAGCAGCGGCCAGTGAAATAGATGAAGAGCGTATGAGCGGTAGCCTCTCTCAGACATGTCCCCCCTTAGAACGCACCAGTGAGTATGTGAATAACCATTTCTCACACAGTGCCAATGTAACTCTACATGAACATATGAAGCCTCACAATGTGGTCAAATGTTCCACATTTTTCATCTTAAGCAGGAAGTTGACTCGCCTGACCCTAGCATTAGACGTTTCACCGCCTCACCAGAACAGTGGAAAGGATGCTTTCTGCCAGCCATCCCAATGCTTCGAGGTGTGCGAACCTACACCATGCTCTAGACCTCAGATTCCCTCACAAGAGAACTTAAATATGTCTGACCTCACAAGATTTCTAGTCAGACGTGAGTTGCTCACTGGAGGTTTAGCAACAAACCAGGCGATTACTGGGCTTGGAAATCCTCATTTGAAAACACCATTCAAGGTCTACAATTAACGGCCAGTGAAGAACTTGACTTGTTGACCAAGTGGTTGGGTGATGAATCCTCTCAACATGCAAAACGCCTCCGAGCAGTGCATATCAACAACTCTTCCTTCGGACTAACCAAGGTGTGGGAGAGACTGCAAGAGTGTTATGGCTCTGCTGAGGCCTTGGAAAGGGCTCTGCTTGACAGCCTAGAACATTTCCCCAGAATTTCAAACAAGGACCCTCATCTACTACGCGACCTTGGGGACCTTCTTTTAGAAATAAATTCTGCCACATTCGAAATGAAATCCCGACCCCTGAAGCTGCTCACTACCATCCTCACTTCAAAGACATTGCTGCACAGATTCCAGGGCTCGACCCAAAGGCAGATATTCTACTGCTACTTGGGAGAGATGTTATTCAGGGCCACAAGGTGCTTGACCAGCGGAATGGGCCTCCAAATGCTCCGTTCGCACAGAAGTTGGCTCTGGGATGGGTTATTGTTGGCGACATCTGTCTTGGTGGGGCTCACAAATCTGGGCATGCAAATGTTCTTAAGACCAACATCTTGGGCGACCGAGCTACTTCGTCCCATGCCAAAATGGCATCCAGGTAAAGGAAAGCTTTGGCTGCAAAGGTCATCACACTATTAGCTCTCCCATTTTTGGACAAGGCAACAGGCTAGCTGAGGCTGATGTCATCATGGGAGGAACAGTCTTTCAACGCACAAGTGCAGATGAAAAACCAGCTTACTCAATAGAAGAGCAGGCCTTTTTGCAGATAATGGAGAAGGAAGTCTACCAGGATAATGCCAACAACTGGGTGGCTCCACTGCCCTTCCGCTCCCCGAGACCACACCTCCCCAATAACAAACAGCAAGCCAGCCAACACCTCGCCTCAGTCCATCGCACGTTGAAAAAGCGTCCTGAAATGAGACACTTTGTGGACTTTATGCAAAACATATTCAACAGCGGACATGCAGAACCAGCGCCAGCATTAAAGGAACAAGAAGAATGCTGGTATCTCCCCTTCTTTGGGGTTTACCATCCTCATAAGCCAGATCAAATTAGGGTGGTCTTCGACTCCAGTGCACACCACCATGGAGTGTCTTTAAACGATGTCCTTCTTACAGGCCCCAATCTTAACAACAGCCTGCTGGGTGTCGTCATGTGGTTCCGCAAGGAGCGAGTGGCAGTCACAGCTGATATCAAGCAGAAATTCCATTGTTTCTTGGTACGGGAAGATCACAGGAACTTCTTGCGCTTCCTCTGGCACCGGAACAATGACATGGAGGAACCCATAATGGAGTACCGCATGAGGGTTCATGTTTTCGGGAATAGCCCGTCACCAGCTGGGGCGATCTATGGGCTCAGGAGCGCGTCCCAAGATCAAGAGGATGATGGCTGCATGACAAGGCGATTTGTGGAACGGCATTTCTATGTCGATGACGGTCTCATCTCAGTTCCATCCGATGATGAGGCTATCGCTGTTCTCCAGAGGGTCCAAGAAACGCTGGCTTCGTCCAATTTGAAGTTGCGTAAGATTGCTTCTAATCACATCAGTGTAATGAAGGCATTTCCCAAGGAGGACCTTGCGAAGGGCCTTAAGGACCTTGACCTCAGAGCCGACCTACCACCCATGCAACAAAGTCTGGGAATAAGCTGGGATGTTGCTTTGGATGAGTTCTCCTTTCAGGTATCTGCTACGGAGAAGCCTTTCACTTGCAGGTGTTGTTGACCATAAACAGTCTGTATGACTGTCTCACGCAGTCTTCAATACAAGGCCTTCCCCGAGGTTTTTGCATGCATCCAGGCAGGGAAAGAGATCCCTAAGCAGAGCCGGATCAGAAGGTTGTCTCCTTATGTAGATGAAGCAGGTTGTCAGAGTTGGAGGTCGTTTATCACAATCTTGAAAGTGACGAAAGAAACCCACTCATTATTCCCCCCGTCACCATTTAAGGACCCTACTGATACGACACTACCTCCAGCAAGTCATCAAGGGCGCCACTTCACAGAGGGTGCAGTGAGGTCAGCTGCCCTATGGATCATTGGTGGTAAGTGGTGCATCAGTGCCATCATTCACAACAGTGTGACCTATCGCAAGCTCCGATGGAGAACAGAGACACAAAAGATGGCAGACCTACCCACTGACCGTCTGAGCACTGACCGTACAAGGTCGTAGGAAATGGCATTCAGCGAGACCTAATCTACGGAACTGCTGGCCCATGGGTGTTGTGGTCAAAACCTTCCCCAGTCATGATGGGAAGGTGAGGAAAGTAGAAGTCAAGGTTGCTTTTGAAGGAACATGCAAGACTTTCTTGAGACCCATAACGGACACTGTACTCCTCCTACCCAGCACTAATGATGAGGACAATGGGAAGGTGTGATCATGACATCATATAGATCAGGTGGGGAGTGTGCTGGCCAAGATTAATTCTTGCCAGCAGGTGGGGCTGTTGCTGTTTCATGCATTCATGTATTGTGTGTTGCATTAGCTAATAGTAAGGTTGTAGATCAGCCAGGAAACATGAAGTAAGTCTGACAGTTATGCCAACAGAGACAGAAGTCGGATCGTTATTCTGAATCTGCATCCATCCTTCTTTGTTGCTTTATGGAAAGCATTGCCTGTGAGTATTTTTAGTCATTAAAATGTCCTCAAAGGGATTATCAACGACTATTTTGGCATTGTCAGTGTTTTACGGGATAGAAATTAATATTAATCATGAGGTCAAGGAAAGATGGGGGGGACAGGAAGACATGGCTGGTAGTGTCTTCAGAGTTGCTAAACACCTCAGCGCACTGAAGGAAGCCATCTGACTGTGTGAAGAGCAGCTTGTTGATGTCTGCAGGCAGAGTAGGCCAAGAGCTCTCCTGTCTGACTGGTCCACCAATGGGCAGAAGTTGACCCCTTGAGACACAGCCCCTCCTCATTTGCATAATGAGGCAGAAATGCATACAGTATTGTAAAAAGGACAGGCAGAAATAAATACCATGGGTGAAAATAAATAAGGTAAAAAAAAATACAAAGGAAGAATAAAACAGACAAAAATATTAAAACACACATAAATAAATACATTTAAAAATAAGTAATTAATAAATAAAGTTGACAAAACATAAATAAGGTAATTATTACAAATGTGAATAAGTAAAGACACTAATTAAAATATATACATTTATGTCTCCTTGTATATTTAATTACTAACTACATTTATTTATTTACTTTAGTTTTTTGTGTATTTAATTGGATGCTTATTTATTTATTGAGCATTTATTTCTGACTGTGTCAGGATCGGTCCTCCATACACATAAAACACGGCTTAATAGCAATCACATTTAACAGAAGAAGAAAATTCTTCTTAATGGTAACTGTTAAGATCAGTTTATTTGTTAGTCACCACCACAAGCTTAAGAGCTTTAGCCTATATGATGTTAGCACTACATAAATTAGCCTAGCGGCTAACGGACTTTTACTCTCCTCATAGCTTAACAGATTACAAGTATTATTCATAATACTCACCGCAGGTG